TTTTGCACCACCCCCTGTCATTGTTGCACTTTTCTACTGCACTGTTGTGTGTCTTTATCATTCTGTTCTCTGGTTGTTTTGGTTTTTTGCACACTTGCATACCAAATATCCTTGGGCAAGATACTAACCATCCATCGGAGTACGAATGTGTGTGAATGTCAGCTAGAAAGCACTGAAAAGCATAGCAGGAAGTGCTTGTGTGAATGTTGCATGTTGTATAAAATGCTTTGAGTTCTCCAGGAGAGTAGAAAAGCACGTTATAAGAATCAGTCCATTTACCACCTCCAAGGTGACACTAGGAAAAATCACTGTGCTGGCAGGTAGAACTTAAGAAACCTTTCAGATGCAGTGAAACTGTAAAGAATGGCAGCCGGCTTCAACTAAACATCTCCACATCACAACACCATAAACCACATGACAAGCAATGGGGGTGGGTAAGGGGGTGAGAGGTGAGCCGATGTAGACACAGCCATCTTGCCCTGCAGCTATTAATCCAGCGCTGGGCCTGGACCTGCCAGCTGACCTTGGCCTTGGAGATAAACCTTCAAAGGTGTCCAGGATCCAGGATGGGGGTGTGTAGGGATGGGAAGGAACAGTCAGGAACACGTGGCAGGCTTCATCTGCTGGTGCGACGGGTTAAGAGTGTCAAGGAGCAAAGTCACAGGAAAGGTTGGAACCATATCAAGCAGAAGGAAAGTGAAAATGCTGTGCATTGTAAAACCTTTGCATCAGGGACTCGCGTCTCTGCAGAGAGCACAGTCTCTGGGAGCGACTGAGGACACCCTGTGAGTCAGTAGCTAAGTTGACGTCTCTGTTGTGGAGGAACGTGCCTCTTATTTACATCCTTCCTTGGATTCATGGAGATTTGTAGCTATTTGTTCACACACAGCTCTGCTACGAGGTTTGGACTCTGACCATGCTGCTGTAGTGGGGCTCACTGGGCCTCATTCACTTACACTTGTGTGGACATGTACTCGGTCTGTATCCACACAAAGTTACAGTTGGATTCATCAAAGATACGCACCCTAGTAATGATTCAGAATCAGTGTAAGCCAACAGCCTGCTGTCTCTGTAAGAGAGACCAGGAGAAAGTCTGAATGACATTAGTGAAATGTCTAAGCGGGACGCAGAGATCTGAAGTGTTTCCACTGGTTCAAACAAGAAACAGAGGGGGAAAGAGCTGACCTGTCAGTCAGTCAATCAATCAATCAATCAATCAATCAATCAATCAATCAATCAATCAATCAATCAATCAAGGCTTTATTCACTGGGTGCAGGTTGCCCTGTAGTGAAATAGGACCCCCCCTCCCGTCCATACATACATAGCACAGACATCACATGGGGATACAGGTCAGAGATCGGTAGCGTTACAGAAAAACACTGAAATGTACACTAC